TAGTTCATGAGCACGCCTCAACTCACCGCGATACACCACCCAGACACGGCTATTCAGCTGGTCATTCTGCTTTTTACACTCCAACCGAAGCTGTTTATCTGGAGTGCGCTCCGCAAGTGTCACGATCTTCCGCACAAATACTGATGATAATCTGGAAGCGCGTAGGAGGTAACTGTTGGTAAGCGCGTGATCCAGTGGTTCCCGACTACAGCACCCATTTGACAAGCCTTGGACGCGAACTGTTAGGTTTATCCATGCCCTAGACTTCAACTGGTCTACACTCCACACCTTAAATGTCAAGTACTTCAGTCAACTTACCCTCTAACTCCCTTTGCTTGCCAGAAGGGGGAATATTGGAGCTAGATTCAGGAATACCAGAGATGAACAAGCTACGGCCTCCTTTATCCGCCTCCACAGCATCAGCAATGGTTGGGCAACTTAGAAACGAGAGCATTTAGACAATTCGTCATAACAGGATCTTTAACTGCTCATTTCGCTCCATCATTGCACTCACAAGTCACTCATGGACATATTCGCGACTTCTGAGTCTGCAGGACAGTTTTCTAGGGCATAAGAGCTCGCATTTGATGTCTCCTCAACAATGCTCTTCATTTGTGGGCGCAATCGATATGATGACATAAGGCAATCGAACGTCTGATCACAAATCTACCACGAGTAAACTTGGACTTATCCGTACCCCTACGTCGTCGATGAAATATCAACTCTCCGAACTGTTGTATTCAGTGAAGCAGTCTGATATATGATAAGAATGCCGTGTCGTAACGATAAAAAAGATTAGATAGCTTTATAATAAACGGCGAGCCAACAGAGTGGGGTACACATGACTGCTCAAGACTCTGCAACCAGTAATTGAGTTTGTTTAGGGTGTATCTCGAAAAAAGTCATTCCTATCCACCCACGATTCATACTCAGTTGAGAGTCGCGACTATTCGTTCTAAACTAGTCCACCGGTTGGCAGTTGCGTCAATCAGATCTCAGAAACGATTTTTATCGTGAGCGGTGCCTCCAAACTACCCGTTGTTCTAGGCAGCGCGTCTATCCTTCCATTCATGTTTTCTACTAAATCTGCAGGCACGAAGTAGGTTTTCATTGCCCTCCTTTAAGAACAGTTGTTTTTCGTTGTATTCCTTAAGTAACCTAATGCCTTTCATCTCAGGTTATCCATCAATTTACAGTGAGGCCTCAAAACCGAGGATGGACGGCCGTTTTAAAATGAAAATGACAGTAGTTTAAGTGACTAAGTGATTGTTATGGCTCTAGAATGTTGTTGACTTGCTGATTGTCAACTTCATCTTCAGCTAACTTCAATTCCAGGCATCTTATCTCCCTGCCAACCGAGCTCGAGTAGTATCTGATCGACAAGGTGGACAAATCAGAGGTAAGTGAAATCAAGGATGCCCGGTGCTGGCTCTGAACGGTGCTAGCTCTTTTGTTCGAAATTAGAGGTGAGTGATAAATAAGACAAGGTTTTACTATCTGAAGAGCTCAGTAGGCTGCTTAGGCTGCGTGCTATTAAAAAACACACTCACGCTCTCTTATTACACATTAGGTTTTCTTCACTCATAGAACCTATGGTACCCTAAAATTCCATAGATAAGAGCGGGCGAACCTACCGGTGAAAAATGAATTGGAAAAAATCGAAATTGAATGCAGTCACCCCTCTAACTTGATGGATAGATAAATTAAACTTTGAAGAAGAAGTAAAGAAGAAGCACCGCCCCTCAACTCTAAACCCCGCCCACTTAATAAACAATTCATATAGAAAAACAGCGATCCGTTAAAATCGCTATTTTTCTATATGAATTGTTTATTAACTTAGCGGGGTTTGAAATTAAGAGGCGGAGCTTCTTCTTAACTTCTTCTTCAAAGTTTAATTTATCTATCCATCAAGTTAGAGGGGTGACTGCATTCAATTTCGATTTTTTCCAATTCATTTTTCACCGGTAGGTTCACCCGCTCTTATCCATGGAATTTTAGGGTAATTAATTTTTTTATCATAGCTAGATCATATGAAGCATCCTACTTTATGTAATACGCTAATCGGTGTGTTTGTGTATTTGTGGGTTTGCTTGTGTGTTGTGTGTGTGTCAGTGTGTGTGTNTCGAAATTAGAGGTTTTACTATCTGAAGAGCTCAGTAGGCTGCTTAGGCTGCGTGCTATTAAAAAACACACTCACACTCTCTTATTACACATTAGGTTTTCTTCACTCATAGAACCTATGGTAATTAATTTTTTTATCATAGCTAGATCATATGAAGCATCCTACTTTATGTAATACGCTAATCGGTGTGTTTGTGTATTTGTGGGTTTGCTTGTGTGTTGTGTGTGTGTCAGTGTGTGTGTCCGACCGGAAATTCATAACTTATGTCCTCGTGGACCTAGAGTGCTTGGTAGGAGTGCGGGGAAAGGATGTAACACTTATGGTGGGTGGCAGGACCGGACTCCATTTACATTGGGCGTGGAGTGCGCGATAGAAATTTTGGGCCTCAAATTCATAACTCCTGTTCACGTGAACCTAGAGCGTTCAAACTAACTAGGAGTACGGGGGGCAGGATGGGAACACTTATCGTAAGTGGGAGGACCGGACTCCGCCCATAGAAGGCGAGGTTTGCGCCAAAATTTTCAGTTTGGCTCTAGGGCAATCGAACTTGGTAGGAGGCAGGCGGCAGTCCGGGAACACTTGGTGAGTGGCAGGGCCGGACTCCACTTCCAAGGGACGGGGTTTCCGCGAAATAAATGTCTGTGTGGAAATCCATAACTCCTGATCCCGTGGACTTGGAGAACAAAATCAGTAGGAGGAGGAAGAATGGGAACACTGAAAATAGAAGAGGTCTTATGGTTAGAGAAGAAGATCCACTCACCAGTTAAATCCTAGCGCCTTTGTCATTTACGGTCTAGCTTTGACTTTTTGATATGTTTCTTTCGACAAGAAGGGTAAGTGGTGTGAATATGAGGAGATGAATTTGGCTCACTTCTTGCCATTGGATTACGACCGCTACCCACCAAAGTTTGCGATTCAGTGAAGAATCACGGTTTATTCTGCTTTGATATTATTCTTGGAAAAACTTATCCGACCGCTAATAATGTTGAATTCTCATCATGATGTATCCGCAGAGAAGAGGAGTACATCTTTGTAGACAACCGAGAATCTATACTCTCGCTCAGCGTAACAGCGGAATAACCGACGAAAAAAGGAGAAAACTTCATTAATTCGATGGTTTTTGTGCGAAGAACCTTTGCCTCAAGAAGGGGGAGAGCCTGGCGAAAGCCGGGCGATCCGACTTAAAAATAATGCCTGTGTTCAAGAAAACTCATCACCGCTACAGCCTCTGTAGCGGACTCTAACAGAGGATGAAAGTGAAAATGCGAAAATATATTCACGCCATTGGATTGTTTCTCATCACTGTCATCACCTTAACATCATTCCCATTGAATGCTTATTAATCAGATTGATATATAAACGGACGAACCGAAATTTTGTTAATGATTAGCTAATAAAATTGTTTTAACCATAAAACAACTCCGAGCCTATTAGGCACCCTCGAGTGGAATCCTCCAGTGAACTAGGCAATCGTTTCTGACGAATTTTAAGAGTACAGAATTCGGAACTGTTGAGACACAGGATAAAGGAGGACGCAATTATGCTGAACCAGGACTTGTCGAATTGATTTTCTTTATTGCATAAATCAAGATTATGATTTGCAGAAGGCAGGTTGTTAGCGTTTTGGGCGTTAACAAATCTTAATGTGGTATGCTGTACTGCATTTCTCTCTCATTCAGAATACTGGTTGTTTCTGATAGCGTATTTGGCTCAAGCAAATAGGCAAGGTATTGGTCGGAAGATCAATTCCCGAAACGCACAAATGTCAGCGACGCGTCTGGGTATTGCCAAACCTCCATCACTCTCGGGGTGATTTTTGCAGCGTTCCTTCAGGATTGTATTTTTTATTTGAGACGGAGTCGTGGTTATTTGATCTCTCAAATATTGCTATAGATTTGGGTTATCATTTTCAAACTGAACTGATTCCCTTTCACCGTTGCAGCTCTTAAACTTTGCAGAAGGCAGCATCATGAGTCTTCACCGGACCTACCGTCATTCAATTAGAATATTCTGTTCCAACAATCATAGCAATTTATCACCTGTTCTTTGAAGCACAAAACTTAGTTTTGTGCTTTTTTTTGAGCTAACTTGCTGAAAATTTACATTACTGATCCACTTTCTTTTACTACATCAGCTCAGCGTGGCCACCTTTGACATAAGTTACTGTAACAGCTATAAACAAATAATTAGTCATCTTATTTGCAACAACAATATCAGATCATAACAGGAAAGCACATATGTGGTGTGTTCAGGTAAGAGCACTGAATAATTGACGTCTATTCATCTTGCTCTTCCAGATATATACTCCAGTAGGCGAAATTGAACAAAATGAAGGCGATTGGGAAGATGATCCTGGAAAAACGGTTTTAGGGTAATTATGAAAAATCTGAAAAATAGTGCAATTTTTTCGAGTACTATCACCTGGCGATAATATCTATTCGTTCTGCGCGACCTCTTGATGAAAGTACGCTGCACCACCGAACAAGCTCAATCCGCTTTCGTTGACCGATGTAGACCAAATCGGTCGTATCCTGGAAAAGGTCGATGCAACCTGGGAAAAAGTCCCTGTGATAGGGCTCTATAGAAGGAAACATTTCGAATGTGTTACAAGAAGTATCATTAGAGGGTTTTCATTCGATCGGTTATCGTGTAACCACTAGAGAACCTTAAATTCAACAGCAGAAGTGCTTTTTAATTGGGATCAGTATTCTGCTTATTCAAAGCACCATCTACATTCATCAGCCGTGGTGTCCTACACACTCATCAGCCGTGGTGTCCTACACACGCTATGCCTGTTTTGAGGCAAATCAGCGGATAGTAGTAGCCTATATTTCACTTTTTAGTGCCGCCCTCGAGAACATCATGCATCTTTGGAAGGTGAAGACTTGGGAGTGAAGGCCACGGCCGCCACTTACATCATCTCGGCTTTGCAGATGACGTCGCGCCCATAAAACACCGAACATCGAGAGGGCCGAACGAATGCTGTCCAAATTCGTCAGCGCGTGTGTGAAGATGTTTGATTGTACTTAACGAAGACGGTGTTCATAGAAAACGTATGAGCACCTTATGCTCTCTTCACGTTAAATGGAACCAATGTCTCCGAATGGTCTCGCTGAGTGTATCTACGCCAAGAAATCAACATTTTGGGCGACCTGGCTCCGAGCTGAGCAGAAGGAAACGCGCCGTATGGGGGGCATTTGAGAACATCGAGGGAGCATTGAAGAAGATAAAGGTTACCTGGCTCTGCGCTTACTTCTTCGACACTGCGACCATCCCTGCTTTGATGCACGCCCCGGAGACTTAGATTCTACGAAAGCAGTATAACAGTATATGCTGTCAGCGTCGCTCAGCGGACTTTGGAAGAGCGATGTTGGGAAACCTATACAGGCAAGTGCGGAGAAGGATCCGGAGTGCCGAGCTCAGTCAACAAAGGAGAACAGAGACGCCGTTGCTTACGCCAGTAAATTGAAGACCAAACGGGCCGGATACGTTATGCGATATTTTGAAGACCATTGGACCAGGGAGGTTACTGGCACGATCCCTCGTGACTTCAAGTGAACACCAGGACGGTCGCCAGCGCGATGGTCAGACTTCCTCACGGGACCTCTGGTAGGAAGGAATGCTTTGCCTCGTGTCTTTCAAGGATGGGCGGTTTGCTGGACCACCCTTACTCGCGAAAGGGAAGAATGGAGACATCACTCACTCCTGCTCGAGGAAATCGATGATCAAAGGGACGAGAGGTACGTGGGAACTGTAAACTAATCGAGACATAGAACAATAACACAACAACAAATACCACACAACAAAACACAAAGCGGCAGACAACAGAGAAATGGAGATCATGCCAAGCTGACTTTGGTCCCCCTATTTTTTGCTGGGTGGTTTAAAGGATTCAACGAAGTTACGGTAAGTAGTCCTCCATTGGTTCACGTACGTGCCAGAAGGTCCGAATGTTATTAGGGCTGCAGAACGTTGGATCAAATATTCACATGTTGTCTGTGATTCATTTCAGGCTCGCGATACCCCCGGAAATTTGGCCCAATGAGTTTTCAATAGGGCTTTGTGAGAATTCAAGTTATAAACTACATCGGATGACAAAGGAATGAATTTCGTAGTTCTCGTGTACAAATTCGTGGAGTTTTTTCATAGCGTGCCTAAATTGTTCTTATGCAGTACAACCTTTTTCTGAATGAGTCCCCCTATTGAATTCGCCGAGACAACATTCATGCGCGAAGGAAGCTGAAAAATATTAAATAGCAGATTTCTGAGAATGAATCGAGACTACCAAGCTGGGAAAGGGTGAAGAATCGAAGGTACTTGCAAAAAAGCGCTCATGCCGACGGCTACCCCTTTGTGGAGTAGAGATGAGAGTGTATGAACTATGGAAGGACATTTGTTGAGTAGGGAATTCGTGGTGGGACTCAGTAGGCAAGGATTGAGACTCGGATTCGTGGTGGGACTCGACAAGCAGACCAACGCTCAGGGAAGCTCACAGAAGATTGATCACCTACTCATATGACAAAGAGATTCTTGACACAACACTGGGAAACGTCAAAACACATCAAATCTGATGACACTTAAGAATTTTCCCACAGAGCGCCCCCCTGCCCACTTTGAACAGGTGTTGTTCTTCCTGTTGTTGCTCTGAGCCTGTTCTAAGCTTTTCTCAACTTGCTACACTAATGGAGTTAGCTTATCAACTTTTGTGGGGAGCATTTGCCACTGAAAAATCTAGAACAACTCCTGAAAAGCTGAGTTTGTTGCATTTTCCTGAGCCGCGAGAGATAGTTATCATTAATTCGGGAAGATAACAATGAGTTCGTTAGGGAATTAGACGCCTGAACGGTCTCTGACCTTGCTCGAGGGGTTAGGGGTAAGCGTCTTCCGTCTTAGGTAGTCTTCAATGACTTCTTACTAAATGGAGCTGCTACGTACCCCTCGCTTGTGAAGAACAACTACTATTCTATAAATATATCCATATAATACTACTCCTTCCTTTATGGTTTCGTTCTATATCTATCTCTAAGCAACTCCCAAAGTTGCTGACTGCAATTCTTTCTGCACACCGTCGAAAGCTGCCTGAGATCTTCTATCGATCGTGTATTATGTTTTTCACAAACTGGAAAATTTGAGATTCTTTCGTTGTTTGAAGCTCTTCAGCCAGGATAATGCGTACAGTAGCGCTTCCTCGCCAACATTTCTCTCAGGCAGCTTGGATGGTTTACTTCGTTCACCACAAGAAGTACGGAACCATTAAACATGCCTGGAATGTCCAACCCTCTTCCACATGGCCGGCTGTTCGTGGTGGTTGACTCATGTCGCTAAGTTCAATGCCATCATAGTCCAAGCCAACCTCTTCTTCCCTCAACTCGAATGATTTGTTCCGCTTCCGTCGCAGGAGGCGCTGGAATTATTACTTTTACAGGAAGTCGATGGATATCTACAGAAAAGACAAGCGATTGGATTGTGTAACGCACCTTCTTCTCCTGTGGGCTGAATCCCACAATGGAGCTCGGTGAAGCCATCTGTTCTACAGATTGCATACATATCTGATTGTCAATAACATTGGACAGTCGACTTCGATTACATGCAGCTTTCCGCATTTGTCTAAAAAAAAGATTGGTAAAGACATTGGTAAAGACAGAAGCCTAACGGTAGCCTAATGATGACCTGTGCTCGTCCAATATCCCCATGTAGTTGACAACAGCATATTCGATCAGGGAAAAGAAGATGAACACTGCAATATGGAATGGAGAAAAGTAAACAGTTTTTCAAGTCGTCTGTAAGAACGAAGTTTGAAATCCCGCAGGACGGCATAACGGAAACATGTTGGGCCACCCGTTTGCCCTTTGGGTATGATAATCGCCCGCTCGCTCATCGCTACTGTTGGGTCAAAAGAGGGAGCTCTCGAGTGTTGCCTCTTGTTTAACCCTTCCAAAGCACTTCTTCAGGTTTCTAAGTCCAGCAGTGGAATCAAAATCCCGAGTGTTGCCTCTTGTTTAACCCTTCCAAAGCACTTCTTCAGGTTTCTAAGTCCAGCAGAGGAATCAAAATCCGGGTCATAGCTAGGAAATCCCTCTGAAGCACCTGAATGTGCGGGAAGTTGAAGTGGAGCGAAGCAACATGTGGGGCACTACTTCTGAAGATCATAGGATTTTGCGAGGTGTTGCTGAAATCATTAGTTCAGGATGATTTGCAAGGGTTGGAAGTATTTCTGCGACTCTATCCATTAGACTAATGGGCGTAGTGAGTCCAAGGTCAGTGGTCGCTTAAAAGTGAAAATTGTTCTTCTTTTGAAGGGTCAATTTCTGAGGTAACAGCACAGATTAGCAGTAGAGAACTTACCAACACAGGCTCCAACCCAAATGTCAATTGACT